ACAGCAGCTAAACCCGGCTGTCTGGATACTGTAGCCGCCTCAAAAGCTACCTGTCCAGATTCGGGCCCCAATATCCCGACATGTGGAGACACCAACGACATCTTCACATGCCAGCTTAATCCCACTCAATTAACACCCCTCTCCCTTTGGTCCGACCCAGTTGAAACTGTCCGTTTCTTGGGCCTACCGTTACTTGAGCTTGAAGACAATGATTGATGGATAAAACGAAATAGGCGGGGCTTAGTAGTGTCTCTACAACAACAGCAAGAACGTTCACCAATCGTAGTCGTCAAGCTTAACTAACGGTAAGTCCAGGAAACGTCATCTTTCGCCAGGGCTGAACCAAAGGAATGCGGGTGTTAGCAAAGTGGGTTTAAGTGGACAGGTGAAGTGGTAGTTGCGGTCGTCGGTGAACCTTCACAAGCCAGACATGTATTTGGTATGTCGCGGTCGTGTACAGATAAGTACGAGTTCAGACGGCTGCAAAATTAGTTTTGCATGGCTTCAAAAACAGAGGTCGAGAGAGTCTTGGCACTCGAGAGGGAACATTAAAGTTTACCTCAGGCAGAAGGGTTGGACTATTAATCAACCTGTCATTAATTTTGCGATACATATTATACCTTGCATTTCGCTACGACTTGCTGGTGTAGGCAAATTTATGAGCTTTAGACGACTAGTGTAAGGGGGGGAGATGGCGTGAGGATTCTGGTGCCAAGAGTCGTCTGCTCTAAGCCTAAGGGTATGCACATATCGGCCCGCAGACTGCAGTAACCCGTAAGCAGTCCTGTTATAAATCTCAAATTAGTGGGTGCCGTTAATAGATTGTCGGCCCGCCGTAGGGTCCAAAGGGGTGCTTCCGACTTCAGAATCCGACCTGCTAAATACAACATGTCGATTGGGCCACACTATGGCAGAATTTTAAATCGGTTGGCCGTGAAGAAGTCGTCAGATATATAAATTACGTACTCCGTTGCTCGCTCACTCCTCATTACAATAGAAGGGGAAGCTGAGAAAGAGGAAAACTATCCTTTCTCAGAAGCCCAAGCGCCTTTCAATTTACGTATATCGATTTTGTAAGCTCCCTCGAGAACTTTAATTGAAAGTCACAGCTATTGCGCTTTCCGTTGTTGTATTTAATTTCTTTTTGCAAATGATTATTTTCATTATCTGGTATTCGTACAATTCTTTTCTACATACAATAGTAATATAGATATACATATTCGCAAGTCGATAATAATATGGATGTCATTGGATTATTGATTTATTTGATTTTACAATACAAGCAGTTAATCTTAAATACTCAAATTTAGCATGTTACCAAGGGAGAAACAAATTCATTTACTTAAAATGCAATTCTGCATCGGGTAAAAAATATTTTAAAACATATATGTAGACATAATGAGCCTTCCGTCTCGAAAAAATTGATATGGCGCACTCCCACCCCTATTCACGCAAGTTTGCACAACGCAATGACGCGGGAGTGCGCCAACAGCAGTACACGCCGCTGTTTTCTTTTTTGCTACTTCCTACGCCTTTCACATCTGTTCGCATCATTTAAATTTATATTATAAATAATTTATTTATTGCTGATTTGTTCTACTTCACTGCCTGCTTGCCGAGTCACGGGTGTACCGCTGATGCGCAACGCCTTACTCCTCGATAATATGTTGCTGTTGAATTTGCTGATCGTGGTGTTGTTGCTGCTGCTGTTGCTGATGTTGTTGCTTATTATGATGATGCTGATTGCGTTGGTTGCGATTACGCTGGTTGCGGTTATCGCGACGCTGCCCGCCCCAGTTGCCGCCCTGGTTGTTCTGGTTGCGGTTGTAGCCACGTTCGCGATTTCCCATGTTGCCACGTTGGAAGAAGTTACCCTGTTTCATGTCGAAGACCTTCTCGTTTACATCGACCAAATTGGTGACCTTGTCTACAAACTGCATAGCAAGTGCCTGCAGACGCGACGGTTCCGAGCGGTGCATGACCACAGTTTCGGATGGGTCGTCCAAGCTGGCCATTAGCTCTTCATTGATGATCATCTTGCTGATAAGCGAGTGCACCTTCTGCACTGGCAGCTCGTACATTTGCGCCAGCGAAGGGATGCTCAGCGAGGTGTAGACGTTGGAGTAGGTGAAGAGATATGTGCGCAGCGACTCTTCCTTGATGAATTTCACCAGCATATCACGCACACGTTCGGCCTCATAGAACAGGTCCCACACCTTGGTATTCATTTTCTTGTTGACTATGAAATTGGCGCAGGCGTTCCAGTTGCCGCAACGCATTGCCTTGGCGGCTGCGACGACATGCTCACGCATCGACTCGGGTGGCCCTACGAGCGATTGGCGCTCGGAAGAACGTAGTTGCTGATAGAAGGTTTTGCTGTAGAATGAGAATTCGTTAGCAAAACTTCGATGAAGTAAAATTCTATATGATCCCTTACCTAATCATGCGGCGGCGTGCATCGAACTCGTGTGCAGCAATATAGGGAATTTCCAGCAGCATAGCCGATACCAAATAAACGCATTCGAGCAGCTCTAAGTTAATGTGCATATGGAATGGCATTTGACGCTGTTTTTTCGATTTTCTCCTGCTCGGCGGAGCGTTCGTGCTGTCGCTGTGGGAGCAAACCCTGTGCCAACAACTCCTTCGGCTTGCCGGTCACCATCAAATCGACCAAACAATGATGTGCATCCTTGATATTCTCCTGCCGAAAAGCACACAGGCCCAAGTTGGCCATCATGCGATTATAAAGGATGCGCGTCGATGGATCTGCCGCATCGATGGTGTCTTGCAAGTGCGACATAAGGACCAAGTCACGAGCCTGGAACCAATTGTCGTGCATAGCGTGGTGATAGATGTGCGCCAGTATAGCGCGTGTACGTATGCGGTCAGTGTCGTCGTTGGTGTAGATGAACTTACAGAGCCGGTCCATGATATCAACTGAGGTGACAGTTGTTGGTGGCAGCTCGCCGCGCTTCTTCTTAAGCACTTCAGGATCAAACTTGTAGTACAAATGCTCAATTTTGCGCAGATAAACGCGGCAGCGCTCGTTATTATTCCCAACGCGCTCGAAATACTCCAGAACAGACTCGATGATGCGAGTTACTACAACCTCGTCCTTTAAGCGCGAAACGTAGTCATTGGTGTGTGGGTCACATTCCTTTAAAAGCTTGGTGAACTCGTCGTCTAGACGCTCAACAGCTGCAAGTGAGCAGCCGCGTATTGCATACGGTGGATTGCTAAATTCCTCGTTCTCCTCTTGCACCTCCTCGCTCATGCGAATGTCGTCGTTGGCCAACAAAATCTTCATCATGCTCTGCATAACATCAAGCAATTTGCTCCAATGTTCCAATTTCATGGGTTCGGAGATTTTCTGGTTATAGTCGAAAATGGCCGAAATGATACTGAAGTGAATCTTCACAGCAACGGCATTACCGAGCTCGTGTTGCTCGGCTATGTCGCGCAATTCGAAAAGCAGCTCGATTTGCATGCGACGATCGGTGCGCCTTTTGCCGCGTGCAGCCATAATCTCGGACAATTTCTGCAGCGTCAGGGGCACATCGATTTCGGCATCTTTGTCGAACATCTTCGGCTTCTCAACTGTGTGAGGGAAGACAGTTTCCCATTCACCTTCCTCATCAGCATCTTCCTCGACACGCTTGCGACGCAATTTGGCCTCCTTAGCACGTTTTTCCTTCTTGCGATCTTCCCGATCCTCTTTTTCCTCCCTCTCGCCGGTAGGGCGCTTCAAGAAGCGCTCACGCATATTTTGATATTGGTTCTCATCGTCCGAAGATTCGGATTCGGACTCCGAATCACTACCCCAGTCAATGGAGTCATCCGAATCAT